ATGAATAAAATGAACTAGTATATACCATGAATTAACTCGAGGTTGTTAAAGGTGGGAAGTAGATACGAAGCGCAAGCCGTAAGAAAGTAAAAGCCAAATCCTCCTGTCTATCATTTCCCATTAGCAGCCATTGGCATGTATATTGAGCACTATCTGACAGGAAAAGGTTGCTACGTTATACTCGCAGGGCGTAACCTCCTTGGTTTTAGAAAGGTTTAGCGAGCGTTGGGCCGCAGTGCCATGAATACAGTGAGCTAGTATATACCATGAACTCGAAGTGGTTAAAGGTGGGAAGTAGAGCCGAAGCGCAAGCAGTAAGAAAATGTGCGTGTGCCACCTCTCGTTTAGTCCTTGGAATGTCCGCTGGATGGCGGTGCTTCTATATGGGGAATAGATGATGAAAAATGCGAGATGGTAGTACTTGGAGTGTTGAATAGATGAACGAACCGGCCCACAGACAGATGCATGGCTGGACGCATGAACGGATGCAGGGGCGGATGCATGGACGAACGCAGGGACGGACGCATGAACAGACGCACGAACAGACGCACGCACGGACGGGCGGATGGACGCATGGACGGTCACACAGACGGACGCATGGCCGGACGGAAGCAAGAACGAATGGACGGACGAATGCTTCGCCCCACTCTCCATCATTCACTCCGTGGATATGCTGCCAATTTTTTTTTGTTGCTGCCTTGGTAAGAAATCCCGTTTTTTTAAGCTGACGAACACGCTCAGGAACACAAGCGATAAATGTGAACTGGCGCGGGCAGTAATCTTGTCTTTCACTGCAAGAACTGCAGTAACTGCTTTCCTCAGGTGGGAAAAAACTATAAAAAACAAAAAAGCAACATTCTCTTTCAAGGCAAGAACAGAAGGAGGGCTCGTGCATCGAGGCATTCTTCAAAGGAAGAAGTGACACCAAAAATTTGTTCGCCCTCGTTATCTTTATCATGCAAAGAAATAACTTTCTTAGATATGCACATTAGTATTCGTCCGGGTGTTACGCGCACATGGTCTTGCCACAATTTCACGAACGTATATTTTCGGTGCGATATCTGCTTGTGAAGTTAATGTCGTACCTTCATCCAATAAACACAGCAGGAAGTGTTCCCTACATGTGCGGGAGAGTCCCATTTTTTTAACGTGTTTTTTTCGCGTAGTTTTAAACATGTGTTCAAGCTCGATGAATTGATTGATAAGTGGGGTTCAACGTCCCAAAACCACTATATGATTATGAGAGACGCCGTAGTGGAGGGCTCCGGAAATTTAGACCACCTGGGGTTCTTTAACGTGCACCCAAATCTGAGCACACGGGCCTACAACATTTCCGCCTCCATCGGAAATGCAGCCGCCGCAGCCAGGATTCGAACCCGCGCCCTGCGGGTCAGCAGCCGAGTACCTTAGCCACTAGACCACCGCGGCGGGGCCAAGCTCGATGAACAAACTAGCTTAACATGCCTTCCTATTTAGGTTGCTTTATTATTATTAGGACTGATAACTGTTTGCGTTGTACTGATTGTGATTTGCACCATCTTGTTATGCGTTTTCACGCATAGCATTGCACGTTCGATACGTAAGCTAATAACTTTCATATACATGCAGTGAATACGATGATCGACTGTGTACCAGTTAAGCCTCTTTTGAGACACTCTGCTTTTATTGCAGCCCTAATGGCTCTGCGTTGCTTTTTGCACCCCTTTACTTGCAAAATTGGGGGACCCTTGAACTTCGCCTTTAAGAGTGGTACGCGATAGCGATATCCTGTCTACAGTGCAAACTGAGTTCAAAATGGCTTGTGCCAGTGAAGCTGCCACATCCGGCTACGTTCTGTGTAATGGGCAGCCTGTTTTAAACGACGGGCAATTGAACACGTGAAATCTTTGCGAGCTTTCTACGCACCCACTACGTGGCGTTAAAGGCCCCTGATATCCCTTTTCAGGTAACCATGGAATGAATTCAATGGAAGAGCTTATTGCCTCACGAATTCAACGCCATTTTGGGACGTTAAACCCCACATATCAATCATCAACGAATTCAACGCCGCAAAAATTTAAAGAATCTGTGCAGTACGAGTGGAGTTACAAAGCTTTGTCGCATGCTGCAATTGCACCCTTTCTGCTGTCGTCCCGACGAAAGCGCTGGAAGCTAAGCAGTGAGGGATGGCAGGCGCAATGAAAAACGTCAGGCACGCCTCCTGACCTTGAGCCCTTTTTTTTCTTTGAATGCGTGGCTCTTTTAGTGTCATCGCGCGCGCACGTGTAGACAAGTCATGTACTCCCGCGGCGATCTCTGCAACGACCAAGCGCGCCATGTTCAAATCAGCCAATGGATGATATTCGGGCTTTCTAGGAGTGGTTTTCGAGCGTCTTACGGATCGTTCATTGAGAGAAGAGAAAGCAATTGCTAGCTGTCTTTGATACTTGATTGTAAATTCCAGGCCGCGTGCTGCGCTATAACTTTTGGCTCGCGTGTTGTTGGGAGCCTTTACTATACCGATCGGCAACATTTTCTGAGCATGCTCGAAAAGTGTTGCAGGGCCCCTTTAAAGGAAAAGGTGCCGTAGCGTGTGTGCCTTGGGTAGTGGGTGGCCTGCTTTAAACCACAAAGTCGTGATAATTCCATGTCCCGACGCCTGATCGCAATGTGGGCTCGTATACCACGCATTATTTCTCCGATATTACATGTTGCGTCGTGAAGCATGTGTACAGGACGCGCGTGTTTGTAAAGAACGGAAGTTACTTTCACTGCATTTCCAAGCAGACGCGTGGCTCTGTGGTAGAACAGCTGCTTGCCACGCAAACGACCCGATTTCGAACCTCACTCAGACCCAGAATTTTATATTATTTACATCCTTCTCAATTTTTCGATGACGCACAAGGCAATTTATTTAGCTCACAACCAACGACGCCACAGCTGACACAAGTACGTAGGCCCTTGAACACCATTAAGTAGTCAGTAATCACTTATCCGATATAGACCTCCAGATGTTGCCTAAACACGAGTTAAAAGTAATTGATAGTGTGATTATTTAACTGATCAGGTGTGCCCTTTAGGCTGACTATTCTCCATGTGGTGGATGTTATTAGATAAGAAATTGAAATTTATATCAAACTATTTACATATTGCTTTATGGTGCTGTTTTAGACAAATTCGTTTACACATCTCTTACGATTTTCAAGTGGGATAGCCAGTGGTTTCGCAAGATGTATCCGCCCGGAGAAAATTTTTGGGAAGGACTCTTGGTTTTATACATTCTTTCCTAAAACGTGTGTCGAAGTAGATTAGCTCTCCTCTTATTATGGCGCTGAAATATGCAAAAAATAAATAAAATGAGCAATAACGATGTGGCGAGATTTCAAACGAGGGTCTGCAGATTTAAAAAAAAAAACTTCAACAATAAACTACAAATTCAGGAATATTTGCGATTCGCTTGAATAGTTGGCCCCTGTAACTGCGGAAACATTGTTATGTTACTTTGAAATATCAGCCCGCATCACTCCACTTGTTCAAATGCCCGTTATTTTCCTAATTGCGCGAGAATTTGAATTAACAAGACGGAATGTACGTCGCGTAACAGATAAGTTTGCAGTTCGCTAACACTTGTAAATACGCTTTTTTTACCAAAAACTTGCTCAAAGAATGCTGGTTCTGTATTAGGTACGTCCAGCCTTACAATGCAAATACTACCCTCCCCCCCCAACCTCTCTCTCACAGGATCTGCTTCGAGAGAATAAAAAAGGAGAAAAAGGTAAGAGTGATTGTTGGGTGGAAATAACAGTTTGCTCCGCGAGCCTACATGTAATCGAGGTAATTTAATTGGAAACTATTAGTTGCCTCTTAGCAGTGCCAGACTTCGCCCATATCTAACTATCCACGAGAAACATTACCACAAAAACTATCACGCAATTAACCAGTATCACATTATAGGGGCGAAGCTGCTTAGGAACTAGTCTTGTCACGCATGTAACCGTTGCTGTACTCGAAACATATGTGAGTTAGACACAAAAACAAGTTTAACAATACACTTGAGCATAGGCATAAGCTTACTATGAGGAAATAGATCGTTATTCTCGGCGAAAAGAAACTAAAGAGAAGGAAATTGATGAGTTGATCTCTACTAAAATGTGCCTAGATTGAGGCTTCTCGGGGAAACCACAACACAAAGGCTCATGCCAAGCACTCAATGTCCCAACGAATTACCCATATTAAAATGGTATATTGCCACCGGTAAGATGGTGGGTTTTTGATTTTGCTTTCCAGGCATATCTTTTTCTCCAGCAATTCTCCTTGAATTGTTTAAGATGACTCAAACGTGAAAAAAATTACCATTTTGTATACACTTTTGTCACTCAATTTAAGGGCAACGCTATAGGGTAACCGATGTATACTACGCGGTAGAAAACACGGACGAGAAGCCAAGACAAGGGGATGTCCACTTATCGTCCGTGTTTTCTACAGCGCAGTATACATCGATCACGAATCGCGAACTGGCCCAATTGTCCACTTTGCTCGGGTAACGTACGGCTACACACCGTTACCCATTGCTTCAGCCACTCGTGACTCCCTTCGCGGAGATGCGGAGATTTCTTTACATCTATCTAAGATACTGAAAACGTGCAGATAAAACACTACTAGCCAGGTACCCATTCTTGACCAAGAAAACGAGACGTTCCTAGAACCCATCAACGCGCTCAAGTGTCCCACTTTTGCGCACGTTTTCAACGAAGCCTTCCCTGTGTGTGAGGTTATAACACATTCTAGGGGATTAAAATAGGTGTGACCACCCCGCCCCCTCAAAGAAAAAAAAAAACGAGTGCACTGGCTCACTTCGGCCTGATTTTGCTGCTTCTACTCGAGACTGTGTGTTCTGGCGTTATACTGTCGGATCTCGAAAACTGCTGGTCTAATTATGCATCTAAACTTAGTCGTAAATGCCCTCGTCACCTCCTATCCAATGCTAGGCGCAGCGTGCCTTTCGGCACTCCGTATCTCACCCATGTCGTCGTCGCAGGCGCCTCCCAGGATGTGGTGGTGGTCGTTGGGCGACGCGGCGTTCGAGGTCGCGTCCATGGCACCGTCGTGCGTCGCTACCAGGTCGGCGCCGTTGGCGGCGGCCCTTGTGGAGGCCATGATGGCCGCGACCCTATCGTAGTACTCGCAACGACGGGACTCGCGAAACTCGCGTCGCAGTCGCTTCAGTCGCTCGCGAACCTGCATGGGCGAGCGGCAGTAGCCCTTGGCCATGAGCACCTGCGAGATGCGCTGGTGGACCTTGTAGTTCCGCGCCGTGCCGTCCAAGTTCTGGCGACGCGTCTCCTGTTCCCACAGGTCCAAGAGAAGCGTCGTCTCCTGCCGCGTCCAGATACTCGCTCGGATGGAACAGTCCATTGCACGGGCTTGGATACACACTGAAACGGCTGTTCAAGAACAGTTCGAGGCGTGGACACTTGAAAAGGCGTGGTCGGCGTTGTACTTCCTTCAAGTGCTGTGAAGTTTGCGTCCTGTCAAGTTTCTGCTGCAAGACAAAAACGAAAAAGCAACAAAATACGCGCATATGTAAAAGACGTGAGTCACGACACAACAACTTGCTCAACGAAACTCACGCGTTAGTTACCAATGTGGGCGTTTTGGCCGGCCAGCGAAGTGATAGCTGTCATTCACAAAAGCCACGCGAAATAGTAGCGGCCAGCTGTAGGTGTTTAAGTACGAGTACCTTATATCGCTTACGTAATTTTCAAATTGCGGCACATGGTAGAGTCATTGTCAGAATTATTTACGCGAACGGGTTATAATATGACTTAGATTTGCAAAAATAAGAACGCAGATTGAAAGAAAGCGACACCGCGAGTGAAAATTTGACTGCTTAGTGAGATCGCTTACCGCGTGCGGCGCCACTGGTTTACGACCCCACAGTAGACTAAGGTCTAACGCGAGCCAGTAATCCTGCTTGGCTCACCCACATCACCGTTAAGTCCAAGGTTTCAATAACGAAGAACGTGCATGTCTTCTAAGATTCCGTGAGATGTTTGGTACGCTAATCAACGCTCCACGGCACCCTATTGCATACAGTTCTCGGAAGCAGTGGTAACTCCTTGCCGCGGGGTTTAGCAATCTACAATCATCCCACGCTGCTTCATTCGCAATGTCTCGCATGATCACCGGCGTGCGATGGCAACCTGGTGGTTGTCAACTGTCCCGCTTTCACCTTGCCCACCATGCCACGTTTTAATACCGCAATTAGTAAACGAACGCATAGTTTGATAGCGAAAGGATGAAGAAACGTTCTTAGCGTCGTTTCAATGCCGCATGCTGACAGTTTCGGTCAGTGACAAGACATGACTCACCAGACGCGTAGGATGTGCGGACTCTTGGGAGTTTTATCCACCGTGCTGGGTTGCGCTGTGATGGTCAGCTAAGCTAGCGTGGCCGAGTGAAGCACAAACGTCGTTCGGTCGGCGTCGGGCTACGATGTTTCGTGGCACAGCCGATGGCAGGCTCGTAGAAAGAAAGAAAAACACCGGCAGCTGGCTGCTGCGGACGCCGGCGGTTGCTGTCTGGGGCGGGTGGCTGGCCCCGGTTTTCAGAAAGAGCCTCGTCGCGTCCGGGCGCTGCGTTCATTGGCGGAGGACGGGCACACCAACTGACGCCCGGGGGGGCAGCGGGGCCGAGGCTGACTGGGGTTGGAAAAGGGGGGGGGGGGGCTCCCCTACCGCTATCGTAACGACTGTAGAAGTCGGGGGGGGGGGCGCAATCACCCCTCTTCCTGCCCCTTCGCGGAGCCCGCGACAACGCCGCGATGGCTGCGGGGTCGAATGGAAGGGGGGAACTCGGGGGCAGGGGATGCCCGCCTCCCTCTTTTCACCCATTCTTCACCCCCTCCCAACTGTGGCGCACCCCCGCTTGCTCTCCCCAGCGTCGGGGACGGTGGTGAATCAAGCCCGGGTGGCGAGGCGCACAAGCACCGCACGCGCGCGCTGGCGAGAATCGGCGCGCCCGGTGCCCAGTTGCTTCTTGTCCTATCTCGCTCGCGAGTGCCAGTGATATGCGAGCGATTGTGTGTACTACGATACAAGAGCCGGCCGGCAGCTCCGACTCAAACCGGCAGTACACGCGAGCCAAACAGCTATCGAAAAAACAACTGGGACCGCTGTCCCCTTGATCGGTGTTGTAGTGTTTCTGTGGCTATTCCCGTATAGGTAAGGGGAAGCCCTTGTTCACGCATTAATAGCTATCGCAGCCCTCGCCTTCTACCGACCCCCACGAATGACACATGCGGAGTGGTAGGTGGGCGGCCCGATGCTGATGCAGTGGGGAAGGAAGAACCCTCCGGTCGGGGAGAGATTTGTTTCAGCTTCTGGCTCGTTTGCATGTCGCCAGCTCTTAGCGGGTGATGCACCCGCTAATGGGTTCCCGAGCTTCCTTAATCGTCGCGTACCGTGTTTCACTTCTACGAAAAGACGAGGTGAACGAGGGATCGAGCAGGGATAAATGGTGGTAATCAGGTCCCCTGATCATTAATGAGGAGTCGGATAGGAGCTCCCATGCTTCCTTCGTGTATATCCTAGACAATGTGTGTGCAATCTACGACTAAAGAGTGTCACTGATGTCCGTGCTTGCGTACGCCACCTTGTTAAGTAAATGACGGGTGAGCAATACTCGCGGAAACATTGTCGCGTGGATCAGGTGATGTTTTGAGCGTATGAGCGAAGTTAGGAGACCACAGAAGCTAGAACACGCCTGTAGCTTCACACATATACGGCCACACAAATCCCAGTAAGAAAACTGAAGAAATAATAAAATCAAATTGCTCATCGCCCACTGGAATGATAGTTTTGACTATTGAAAAATGTTATTGAAAGAGGGGAATGGTTGTCTTTTTTTTCTTACAGTGAAAGTTGTCATAAGATCACAACAAGGGTGACGTCTGTTGTAGCTGCCCACCACCACTGCCGGTGTCCGTAACCTCTACTGCACAAAATGAGAAAGCAATTCAAGATAATAAAGAAAAAATGAGGGACCCTTAAGCTGCGTCTTTAAGAGTTAAACGTTATAGCGATATGCTGTTCCTAGTGCGTACTTCAAACACTTAGCATATCAAATCTTTTCGAGCTTCCTATGAACTTACTACGTGTATTCAAAGATGAAGTAATGTACCTTTAGCAGTCACCCACTAAAGGGTTCCTAGTTTAAAGCGATGGCTTTAAACTAGGAACCCTTTATGATAATCCCATGTTCTTACGCCCGATGGCAATGTGCGCTTGAACCACGCATTGTCACGGCAATATTTCATGTTGTATTATGAAGCATGTATACAGGACGTGTGTGATTGTAAAGTATAAAAGTTACTTTCACTGCATTTCCAAGCAGACCATGTTATTTTTTATTTTCACTGTATGCGCAAGCAGAGGCACGGCTGTGTAGTAGAACACCCACTTGCCACACAAACGACCCGGGCTGGATCTTCTCTCAGGCCCAGAATGTTTTTTTTTTCATTTGCATCTTTCTAGATTTTTCGGTCACGCAAACACGCTCGATTTTTCGGTAATGTCAAGGTGATTTCTTGCTCCCAACCAACGACACCAACACCGGAATTTCCACGAAACGAGCTTTTTAACACTATCACGTTCACACAGAGTTCTCGATGGGGTTAGAACCCTGGTCTCGCGCGTGCCAGTCCAGTGTTCTTCTATTGAGCCACGCCAGTTGTTGAAGATCTGTGCAAAATGACTCTAGGCTGCCTTGATGTTGCGAAAGGAATCACGTTATTTTGAGTAATGAAGAATTTAGAGCAACCAAGGAACGATCAGGCGTCCAACAATGCGAATTGAGTAGCGAGTGGATCATCGATTACTCGAGCCCCGTTACTAAAGCTCCAGGCATAATTCTTCATCGTTGTCAGTCGCAGCATCAAAAAATTGCAGAAAATTCTTTGCAAGTGTGTAGCGCGTACCACGCTTCGTCGAAGAATAACGAAGGATGGCATATATGAGGGCTTCTAGGACCATGGCAGAACAACTCCAGTGCGTTACACGCCAGAAAAACACTACTGACATTCTTACTAGCCACAGGCCTGAACGAAACGTTGTAAATAGGGTAGTTCGTGTGTGTGTCTGTAAATGTTTTGTGTTTATCACTATATATATCGTATAGTCACCACCCCGCACCTGGAGTAGCATGTCAGGTGAAAAGTCAGAGAAGCTTCTCCAGCTCTTTATAAGAATAATTTTCTTTGTATCTCTGCAACAAAAAATGTATGTTGATTTATGGCACAGTGGATACTCTGCAAGTGCGCTTATAGCAGTCACCTAAAAAATGTTCAAACACACTATTAAAGGCCGCTCTTTCAGCTTTCGCAGTGACTGTGTTGTGCGTTGCGCATAGAAATGGCTTTTTTTTTCTAATCTTTGACATATGTGGAAGACTTCGTGAAACTTCTTCATTGGTGACCCCCCCCCCCCCCCTACAGCGGTTATTTTGGCCCGTTGAAGAGAAAAGGGCGGTGGTTGTTTGTGTCACCATTGCACCATTGTTGCTTGACTATAATAGATGCAGCATTGAATAAAGTCTGACCTTGAAATTCCAGAGCGACAAGAGCATTCCGTCCCCTCCGGTGTTCATTCGCGTTGCAATGACTTCTGCAAGAACCATGTAGTCTCAAAAATATTTTTTGATACATTTGTGTATGATGGCGGCGACAGTAGCTTTATTACTATTACTCATCGTAAGTAGACATAGATACGTCACTGAATTTGAAATTTTAAACAATGCCTTTTTAGTCATGGTTTTTAGGGGGAATGAAGGGGGGAGGGGGGTTACCTCCTTGATTTCCGAGAGGACGATCTCTTAAAATGGCCATATTTTGCTGTGTGCTTTGTCGTCAAGGTGCCCCGGGTAAAAGGCCCAGCGTCTCAGAACCGTTCGCGGATCCATTTCCTACGTTCTCCGTGGCGCCTTGATGCCGTTGTTTCCACAATTTGTGGTCTGCCTGGCGCCGCATACCCATCACTGCAACAGACTACGGAGTTGACTTCCACGTAAGACTCAACGCCTTGGTTGTGGTAGTAAGGAAGAGGAAAAAGGCACCTAATTTTTGTCTGCCTCAAGGGCGACATGGCGCAGTGCCTTGTAGGGGTTGGGGGAAGGAGGGATAAAAAGAATAGAAGGAAATAGTTGAAGAAATAGAGAAGGCAAGCGACGGAAAAAAGAAGGAGATAGGAAAGTGGGGATCCGGTCAAAGCAGTCCAAGGATGGGGCACCACAATGCGAGAGCTGCACGGCGTCAGGAGACCGCAGAGGGCGAATCAGTCAGCGGGAGCTACGCTGTCGTCGGAGATTGAAATCCTCCGAGCGAAATCCCTAAGACTCAACGTCTTCGTGCTGTGCTGTGC